CTTATTTATCCAGTCATCAACTGATGGGCACTTAGGCTGCTTTCATATCTTGGCTATTGTAAATAATGCTGCAACGAACCTATGGATGTATATGTCTTTTCGATTTAGTGTTTTGGGTTTCTTTGGATACAGACGCAGAAGTGGAACTGCTGGGTCCTTCTTTGTCTCTTGTTATAGCTTTGTTTTAAAGTCTGTTTTATGTAAGTATTGCTATCCCAGCTTTTTGTATGTTTGTTTCTATTCTCATAAAATATCTTTTTCCATCCCTATGCTTTTTCAGTCTCTGTGTGTCTTTCGATCTGAAGTCAGTCTCTTGTAGACAGTACATGTAAGGGTCTTGTTTTGTTCTCCATTCAGCCTCTGTAGTCTTTTGATTGGTGCAATTAATTTATTTGCATTTAAAGTAATTGCTGATAGATATGTATTTATTGCTATTCTGTTATTTATATTATTTACCTTTTTTTCTCTTCTTCTTCTTAAAGAAGACCCTTTAGCACTGGGAGAGGACTCCTGAGAGCCTGTGCCGGGCTTCCTCTGGGCTTTGCCCCATGTGCCTTTTCCCTTTGCTGATTCTGCTTTGTATCTTTTCCTAGAAAGGCACCTTACGATGAAGGTATGCGTTACAGTGTAAGGTATCCATTCCCTGATTATCACTATCTGCTGAATTATCCGAGTCTATCTAGTGAATCTCCTAACCTGGGAATGGTCTTTGAGACCCTGGACACATAAGGAATAGCCATTTGGCAGTTAATCAATTACCCTTCTTGTGAATGTGAATTTCCCTTCAGGAAAAATTAAACCAACTCTTTGATCATTCTATATATGCATATGTTTACAACTTTATTTTTTGTACAGTGTTTCCTTGTACATTTTTGGTGTTCATTAAATGTGGAATAATATTTACTTTACATATAATGAAGCTAACAATTTTTATTAAATTACATAAGTCAAGGGCTGTAAAGTAATCGTTTCCCCAACAGCTGTTACTTGACTGCCTTATTTGCAAGTATCATTTCTGAACGCAATATTAACCTTCATATTTCTAAGAGTAATGCACTCAAATAGAGTTGCTGTGGAAACCACCACTGATTATTGTCATAAAGTATATGGCACTGAGGCATGAAATTTAAAGACTACAGAAACGCAGCACATGCATTATAAGGATGAGGCATAAAATGCGAGAATTATTAAGACTATTCTGTTAACTGTGCATTTTTAAACTTGAACCTTAATATTGCATGAATAATTTGACATTCAAACACTGCCTTTGTTTTTTTAAAGGCAAAATATGTGTAGGAGAGAATCTAACAAGCTGACTGATCATCTTTCTGTGTATTTAAAAATACCAGTTTGAGTTACAATATTGTAGTAGAGAAAGTACTTAACAATCTAATGTTCAAATATATGTACTTTAGTGAATTAACCACTTCATTAAATACATTTTATTTTAAGTTGGATAAGTCACTGATACCTATAATCTTTATAACATGGTTTCAGAATGGAAAATATAAACATAAAATGCTGCTACATAAAATAATAATTTCCTTTTTTTTTAAATGAGAAAAAAATTCTGGATGAAAGTATATTTTTTTAAATGATATACTGCATCATTAAAACCATTAAAAAATGTAACTACATATATAGGATTCACAAATAATAGGCCATAACTGGATTTTTAATAACTTGAATAATTAAAAAAAATTAAAACTAGTTAGTCTCCTATTTGGCTTTTAGCTACTAAGCAGAGGGACATTTTTAAAAAATTTATTTTTATTGTTGAAAATATTACAGATGTCTCCTTTCTTTCCCCCATTGA